ATAACAAATAAATATTGTTATTGTTGTTTGCTATGAGGCTCCCAGAAGCTGACCTGTATTCAAATGGGACTTGTGCTTAGCAGAGATCCCCCACTAGTGGAGCAGTGTTGGGGGGAGGGCGAGCGAATTGGATGGTGTCTCGTAAACATTTGGGCCTCTGAGAGCAGCTGTGTGATCTAGCGGAAGGATTCTCGCTTCAGGACTGTGTGTTGACGCTGATGTCACGGCTGCTCTGAGCACCCCAGATACTGTTAACGAGCTGTTCCAAGCCCAGATGTAGTGTTTTCTCACCATATGGTCCACACTGAAGTGCATGGTCTTTCAGACAGAAATGGCGTGGAACTCAGAAACGCTGAACCCCGTGTGGAAAACCCACTTAGAGGAGCCATGCCCCAGCAACGGCTCCAGTTCTCCTGACTTCTGGGGGTCATGTTTTTATTTGAATGTCATTTATTTATTCATTCAGCAACCGCAGAGAGTCATGGGGCAGCTACCATGGGGCAGGTTCTGTGTTGGCCCTGGAGATACAAAGGTGAATAAATCATTGCCTGTGGCTTCGAGGAACTGAGAATAGCCATGAAGGACATGGGAACAAATCATATTGTGACATTATTCTAAGCTCTGTATACAGGTAGTTATCATAGACTCTGGGAATTAAAAAGAGTAAGGGAAATCTTTGTAATTGAATTTTAAAAAATTTCTTTGCACACCAGCATCTAAATACCTTGCCTCCCAAAATAGGCAAAGTTCAGGTCCTTTGAAGAAGGTAAAGAGGGTCAGACATTCCTTCTCCCTACTCCCTGGCAGGGGGACTGTGAACACATGACATAATGTCTGCCTTCAACTTGGGTCTCCCTTGGATTTCAGACTCCTGCATCAAGATGATTACTCAATACCTCCACTTGAGTATGGAACAGGTATCTCATATTACAAGTCCAAAGTCAGATTTGGTGCCTTCTCCCAAGACCTGCTTCTTTCCCAGTGTTCTCCACATCAATAACCTGCACTACTGGTTAAGCATTAGCTCAGGCCAACAATCTTGGAGTCATCTATGACTCTCTCTCTCTCGCACATATATCCCACCCATCATGAAGGACAGTTGGCCCTAATTCTAAAATGCAGCCTGATTCTGAACACCTCTTACCATGTTGCCCTCTACACCTGTGTCCACGCTACCACCATCTCTAACCTGCTGTCCTGAAATGGCCTCTTGGCAGATGGCCATCCTTCCACCCCTGCCACTCTCCTGTCCATTCTCAGCAAAGTACCCAGAAAAAAAATCTCTTAAAATGTAAATCATGTCATATTTTCCTGTTCAATATTCTTCAGTGGCTTCTCATCACATATAGAATAAAACCCAGTGTCTTTTCCATGGCCACCCTCCACCCATCTGTTCCCTGCCCTGGTCTTATACAGTAGGAGAGCTGCGTCCTCTAGTTTTTCAGGAAGAGGGAGACTACCAGAGGTGTAGAAGTAGTTGCTGGATGGAGGGCCCAGGTGAGAAGAATGGTAAGGGGACAAGGGCTGAGACAAGGCGGATTAGGACAACAAAACCAATCACAACAAAAGCCTCACCTTAGGACAGGAGATTAGTGGCTTGTCATCATCCATTCATTCAACAGATATTTATTGAGCACCTGCTGATTACTAGGAACAGGTGTTAGGCACTGACACTGGTATTGAGTTACTTTTGCTTGGCCACTGGGCTTACAAACCAAAGATATGCATTCAGTGAGACCTTGAAAAATATCTTTACATTCTGAGCCTGTTTCCTTCTCTATAAAACTGGAATAATAATGATGCCTGTTCTGTTGATCCAGATGATCACTTATGTGATGCTATAAAGAGTTCTACATTTATCAGATGTGGTACTTAGACTGGAAGCTCTATGGAGGAAGGGACCGTGTCTGTTTTGTTCACTATTATATTGCCATTTATAGAACAAATGAATGAATGAACATAACTTATTCAGAATCAGTTTTGGGAAGGGGGAACTGCTACTTCATAGATTTTGAGCAGCTAAAGGATGTCTTCTTACTGGCAAAAATCCTGGGTAATTTATGCCATAACAGTTGTATCTTGGCTCCATGAGATGGTCTTACCATGTGTGCCCCAAATGCAGGAACTTTCCTAAATTATATCATTTAATTCATCTGTAACATGATGATCAAAGCCAGTTAGGCTCTTCTGCTCCCCTCTACCTTCTCCAGTGCCTTCTCCAGCATCCCTCCTCTCATTCCCCTTTGCACCGAGCACTGAGCTAGACACCCACTTACTCTCTTATACACACTGGCTTATAGGTTGGGTACCATTTCATCCCAGATGCTCCAGATAAAGAACTCAAGATACACAAAAATCTTGACAGAATGTAACAATTAGTTCAAGTGAAGGAGATGAATTTGAACAGGGCTCAATGTAAAGACAAACACTGAGGTCTAAGAAGTGAATGGCAGAGAATGGATGAGAAGAAAAACCTAGCAGCTGCTCCTGTGCTAATGAAAAATGCAAAAAAATAAAAAATAAGCAAAAATACGTGCGAGGGACTAAAATCTGGAAAGAGCTGTGTAAAAATATCTATCTTCAGGTATTTTTTGCATCAACATTTGTTCAATATTTTCATAATATGATGTGAGTTTTGTAATAAGAGAATGTATCTCTCCAATTGAAATAAAAGTAGGATATCAGTATATTCTTTCAACTCTGGCTGAACTAACAGTAGCTCCCTCGTTGGTCACCAGCCTCCAGATCAGGAAGTGTGGTTGATGATATTGGCTTGAATCAGAATATACTGTTTGTCTAGATCAGTTCCTTAGTTCCCATCGTTCAGCTTGTCCATTTGGTCAAATGTAAATATTTTTTCCTTGCTCTTCTCTAAGAATCACTGTGCTAATGATCTTGTGCACCGAGCTTAAGTTAAAAAAAAAAAATTCTGACATTAATTAGGCATTATGCTAAGTGATTTACCTACATTATCACATCTAATCTTCATTACAATCCTATAAGGGAGACTCTTATTAACCTTGTTTTTTAGATGAGAAAATTGAGATTCAAAGTGGGTTAAGTAACCTCATCGAGGTGACATGATAGTCAGAACTCTTAAATCAGGCACGTGTGGTTCCCAAAGGCTGTGTTCCTTAGCCCTGCCCCTCCAAATGAGACAGTTAAATCTGGTGAGGGCCAAACAGGCTCACAAACATAAAGACATTCAAAGTACTTTGGAGAATATGTTAGTCCAAGACAAGCATGATTACGGCCAAGGCTGTTGCTTTGATCTGAAAACTCCATGCTGCCCAGCTATTATACACTAACGACTTCCAGCTCCATGCGAATTTCTCTACCAGGCAAATTCCTCTTGCCTCATAAAAGTGCTTGCTGAGAAAGTTCAAAACCCAGTAGCAATTAATTATTGACAGAGCATGTGAATTAGAGATAAAAGAAAAGTCATTCTTTCTCCACACATGCGATAGTAAATAAATTTAATTATGGTAGGTGAAGCTAAGGGATGTTCGTCTGTATTAAGTTTTATTAGCTGAGACATTTAAAAGCGTGTCATCATAAGAAAGAGATCTTGTGTAATCCTGAATGTACCACTTTGGTGCAAGGCATGGAAGTGAATAGACTTAATGGAGCACATGGTGGCAGATGGCCTGCTGCCCTGACAGGCATTGAACAGGTTTATCGTCAATTAACTGAGGTCTACATATGCCTATAGCAAATTGACTGTATACTAGATCCCCAGACTCATTTTATCACTGATAGGCCTGCCACATTGGGATTGGGGGACAAAGAGCATCAAACGCCTTTAATATCTTAAAGTTCCCAAATAAGACAAGGCCACTCTGAAGGTGAACAAGGATGGAGAGATGGGTTTGGAAATGCAACCTTGGTAAGGAAACCAAGAGACATGAGCCCCGGGGTGGGGTCTGTTATTGGTCACTGGGAAACCTTGCGAGCAAAGAAAGAAGAAATCTCATGTATAGAACCAGACCTATGTTAGATGCTTTCACATTATATGTCATTTTATTCTCACCTGAACTTGAGATAAGTTTTGGGATTTTACAAAGGAAGATAATAAGGCTCGAGGATGCGATTCAATTTGCTGAGGTCACAAAGCCTGTCTGATTCTCTCTCTGGGCTTCAGTTTCCTTATTTGCACAATGATGCCTTTGGACTAGATCAGGGGTCAGAAAACTTTTTCTTCAAGGACCAGGTAGTAAATATGTTTGGCTTTGTGTGTCATGGTCTCTGTTGTGACTACTTAACTCTGCTGTTCTAGTGCAAAAGCAGCCCTAGATAGTACATAAAGGAATGAGTGTGGCTATGTTCCAATGAAAGTTTATTTATGAGCATTGAAATTTGAATTTCATATAATTTTCATGCATCACAAAGTGTTATTATTATTATTTTGGTTTATTCCTCAACCATTTAAAGATTAAAAATCATTCTTAGCTGCGAGCCATACAAAAACAGAAGGCAGGTTTTAGTTTGCCAATCCATGGACTAGATAATCTGTGCGGTCTTGTTGAGCTCAAACATTTTCTGAAAGCCACTACAACAATAATAATATCCTTGATTTGTTAAGCTCTTACACATGCCAGATTCTGTGCTAAACACTTTACAAGCATTATCTCCCTTAATCCTCATACTACAGTGTGAAGTAGGTGTTATCATTATCTCCATTTCAGAGATTATAAAACTAATACATACAGAAATTAAGAGTATATCTAAGTTAAACATAACTGGTAAGAGGAGGATCAGCAGTTTAAGCCAGGTGTATAAGGTTCCCAAGAATTAATGCACAAGCCTTCTGCTGCCTTTTCTGATAATACTGTAGTCAGAACTATGGTGAGACATATAGTTAAAAAGAACCTCCAAGTGTTTATCAATGAATTTTATTTGATAGTTCCCCACCAAGCTATTTATCTCACACGTTTCTTACAAAAGTTTAAATATTTCTGGACAGGAATAACTACTCTCTTTCCTTTTCCTCCCTCTTCCAGAAACGTGATGCCTAAGACTTTGGATGGGCAGATAACCATGGAGAAGACGCCAAGTTACTTTGTGACAAATGAGGCTCCCCAGCGCATCCACTCCATGGCCAAGGACATCAAACTCATTGTGGTGGTGAGAGACCCCGTGACCAGGGCCATCTCCGACTACACCCAGACACTGTCAAAGAAACCCGAGATCCCCACCTTCGAGGTGCTGGCCTTCAAAAACCGGACCCTGGGGCTGATCGATGCCTCCTGGAGTGCCATTCGAATCGGGATCTATGCTCTGCACCTGGAAAATTGGCTCCAGTATTTCCCCCTCTCTCAGATCCTCTTTGTCAGCGGTGAGCGACTCATAGTGGACCCTGCTGGGGAAATGGCCAAAGTACAGGATTTTCTAGGCCTCAAGCGTGTTGTGACTGAGAAACATTTCTATTTCAACAAAACCAAGGGGTTCCCCTGCCTAAAGAAGCCAGAAGACAGCAGTGCCCCGAGGTGCTTAGGCAAGAGCAAAGGTCGGACTCATCCCCGCATTGACCCAGATGTGATCCACAGACTGCGGAAATTCTACAAACCCTTCAACATGATGTTTTACCAAATGACTGGTCAAGATTTCAAGTGGGAACAGGAAGAGGGTGACAAATGAGGCTAGAGATGTGGAGGGAAGGCTAGTGATAGCTAAGGAGGCTCCTTACCTGAGTCCTGAATCCCCCAGGATCTGCAGCCTAGCCTTGCTAGAGTGCCAAGTAGATCTCCTCCTTTATCCATTCAGGGATGCTTCCAATGCTGTTGGTTTAGGCAAAGGGATGGATCCCATGGCATCCTCATAGAGGAACCAGCAGCATCTGGTTGACCAGATGGCCACCAGAATCCACTGCTAATTCTTGTCTTCTGCTAGTTAACAGAGTTGAAGACAGAACAAACAGCTGTCCAAGTCAGAGACAGTGCCATGAATGTTTGTTTAAGTGATAAAAATGAAAGGAAAGTCTACCTTTTGGGGGGCCTCTCACTTTGCTTTGGGCAGCCTGAGTTCTAGCTCTGTGTCTGGCACAGGCCCCTGCCATATAAACCTCTGCCTGGCATCTCTCCAGAATGTTAATTGTGGCTGAGTGCTTCAAGACTCCTAAGGAGCAAGGTCCTCCCTCTAAGGTGTGTCTAGCCTTCTCCTTAAAGGTCTCATCCCACAACCCTTTGACTTCCTCCCTCTTCACCTTTTGAAGGCAGAGGCATGCACGTTCCTCACCAAAAAAATGTTCCTCACACCCCTGGAAGCCTTCTTTCTAAGAACTCTCTAAGGAGGGTTGGGTCTCTCTCTTCATGAGCATCGTGGGTTGCGGAGAAGCTTAGCATATGCCCTGGTGTTAGAATCAGGCCCACAAGGCTGCTCTCAGGGCAGTGTGATTGCAGCTGAGTTCAGAGCCCTGAGGTTGGTAAAGATGAGTGCTATATTGGAGAGGGAAAAAAGAAAGCCAGTCCTCTTGGTGGGAGGTTTCCACACCTGAAGACCCTCCTTCAGCACTGTGGTTCTGAGACATGCTTCTGGGGTGGGCTGTGTCCTTTAGGGTCCCCAGAGGGGCAAGGACCAGAAAATTGGCATGTCTTTTGTTATGAATAACCCTTAACAACACAAGGAGCAGGGGACCAGTCACCTCTCTTGTATTTGCCCCACCATCCCCCACTCACAGTCATCTTACACTTCATTTACTCTATTCAGAGATGGCACATATTGGGGCCGTGACAAAAAGGCTGACTCCATTTGTCAGATCTGGTTTATGGGGGTGGGGGAGGGCAAGGGCTGTCTATGGACACCCCCATCAAGGGCTGTGGAATAAAGTGTCCCTTCCCATTAGATTGATTCCATTAAAATGCAGCATTTGACATAAAGCACTGTTCACAGATCTCCAAAACCGGGAACTGTTCTAGTAAAATTGGAAATATGTATGAGTGGGGGGAGTTAATCTGTTCAGCTGTTATTAAACTGTCATTTCTCCCGCTAAATGAAAACTGTGTTGTTATAAAGCTTAATGCAACCTGATTAATGGGTTTTGATGGTGTGTTTGTGCTGGTCACCTCCATCCTCACCTCTACCCCCACCTTGGAATTCTGGGAGTATCCCTTCTCTGATGTGGCCAGAAAACCCAGATGCGAGACTCTTCCAGGGAATTCTGTCTGCCAGGCAGGATGATTCTTGAAATAGCACAAAGGAAGTAGTTCCTGTAAGGGGTGCTGCTTTCTCTATCTTAACCAGTCCTGGCAAGCAAAGGACTGACATGCCAGATTCAGGAATAACCTTACAAATAATTTTTTTCCGGATAAGAAAGTGGTGATTGAGCTGGAAGTAACATATATCCATTCACTACCAAACTAAAAGAAGATATAGGTAAAAATACGCATACACACACTTCTTTGAAGGAATAAAATGCATACTTGTTCAGAAGAGTGTCTTGTGGGCTGGCTGATTGGGACCTTGTTTTATAAGCAGAGCAAGGAGTAGGTCTAGTTACACATCGGAGTCAGCTGTGTGGTTTTTCAAGCTACAGCTTCCTGAGCTCCATTTCATACTTTTTGGTGAATCAGAATCTCTAGGTGGGGCCCAGGCATCTATCGTTTCAAAAATATGCTTATGGAAGCTGGGATTGAGAACAACTGGAGGAAAGTCTTACCTGTGTATTTCTTTGGCCTCTCATTCTCCCTCCCATCCTCCTTTTATGCTTTTGTGGGGATTACTTCCAACAGAAGAGTCCCTCAGGGTCTGTGGCTTCCTTGGAGGAACATGGCCTCTTTTGGAGTTCAATGGCAACTAGGTAAGGGGTGAGCTTATCACTTAGGAGATCAAAGGAGCATCTGGTTGTTGGAAAGCTTTAAAGATGTTTTTCTATCAGCTAAGAATGACCATTACTCTAGCCTACCCTCATCTCTTCTCTTATGGATGGACACACATTGATTCAGCCCCTCAGTCATACCTACTCTCCATTTTCCATCTCCCTGGCTGTCTACCTGTCTCCGTAAACCGAGAACATCAAGACCTTAAATGCTGCTGAAAAAGAAACCTAGTAAGTATGTGTCCTCACATGAATATGACAAGCAAATCCATTTTTAATATGGTTAGCCAATGGTTAATAAGCCATTCTGACCTGGGAAATGAAAGTGGAAGATCCCTCTTACAGTATTTATACACTCTTGCATATAACAGTAGACTAAAATTCTCTGGAAAAATAGGGCAGAGGCCTAAGCCTTGAGATCTTCAGGATTTTTATTTTAAGGGTCTGTTTGGCGATATGGTTGAAAGCTCATGGTTCTGAAAAGAAATGCAAACTTGACATGTTTAAGTTCTATTTTCTGCAATGTCTACTCTAGCTTGATCCTTGTGACTCAGAGTGAGCCACTAAGCCATGTCCCCTTCTTCAGTGGGGAAACTTGACAAAAGAATTATTTCCTATCCTGAAATGCTAAGTCAGCCTGCTAAAATAGAGTCAGGTTAATAATACTTCCACCCTATTTAAACATGAGCATTGCAACTCACAGGAGATTGAATTTTGTATTTGATTTCAATTAGTAAAGCATAAATTATATTTAATTTTCTATTCCCCTCCCTTCCCACAAATGGATGATTCACAGCTCTGGAAAGGCTGCTGTGTGTGGTTCAGGGATGGAAAAGGGAGAATGCATCCTTCCAAATGGTGCAGCTGTCATTGTTTCCATGTTAATCTCCTTTTGCCAGTGTCATTCTCTACCTGAAAGGTATGAAAGCCTTGACTTTGTACTTAGACCTACCAGCTCAAAACACAACAGCAATAATAACAAAAAACATTCAGCAGCCCCATTTATCTTTGGACTATATATGAAAACCACAACTTCAGAGTAGTAAAGATGTGGCCATTCCCTAGGAATTCCCTGCAACCTTCAGGGGCCTCTCAGATGCAATTTTAAGTTCAGGAGAGTGTGGCCTGTTCAGTCCCATAGTGCTAGGAGTCCTGGTCTGAGCCTCACTTCTTTAAAACCTCAACTCCTTGGTTCTGCCAGTTGCTTGACTTTCCTGCCCCTTCCCATTTTCCACCCTCAACCTCCTTATTCCACAAAGAATACTTCTGTCTCACTACTGTCAGAGGAAAGGTAGCTTGCCTCCATCTGCGTCTTGGACAAGTACCATTACCCTGATCCTTAGTGTTCATCTCGCTAAAATAGGGATATTTAATCTCTACTGGCTTACCATTCAGAGTTTCTGTAATGACCAAAATGAATTAATAGATAGGAAGACATTTGAAAAGAATAAAGTGCTTAATTTACACAAAGGATAGTGATGATGATGATGATGGTGATGCTGATGATGATCATGAAGAAGATGAAGAAGGAGGAAGAGAAAGAGAGAAAGGAGGAGGTTACTGATACCCCTTCCAGAACACTGTGTCTTTATAGTGTCCCAAGGCTATATCTTTACTCAAACTGGACAATTATGAAAATGCTAAGAGAAAGTGAACCACCATTGATTTTGCTCAAAGCTAAGATGAGAAAGAAAAGTCCCCTGTAAATAGCACTGAGCTGGCTGGATTTTAGGCATTCAAATGTAAAACCTTCTCCCTACCCAGGTCAAGACCCTCCCCCAACCCCATATACAGACAGGTTCTCACTCTGGCCTTTCCCTCACTCCACACTCAAGGTTTTTTTTAGATACAAAGCACCAAGGCTCATTCACACAGGGCCAAGCAGATCCTCTTGAGATGGAAATAGGGGTGAAGTTTTCAAGCTTCCGGGCTATGAATTGTGTGCCTGGAGTTCTGACTCCTAAAAGTTTACATAGAAGACAAAGAAGGTTGAGAACCAGGGCACATGCTTGGGAGCAGGTCTCACATTTTTCTGAAAAGAAAGTGGGGTTGAGAGATCTCCTCAGGTTCTTTGTGTAACAAATTGGAGTGGGGAGAGATGAGTACATATGATTTCTAGCTTTGCAGGGGGAGAAGGATGTGTCATTTTAAGATACAAGACATACATGAGACCCTTTTTTTAATTGTGAAATATCTTATATGCCAAGATAATAATACTATGTCATCCGTCATCAAGGTAGGAAATAAAGGCCAAGAAAATGTATAAAATGTGTGTCCACTGATGGAAGACGGGCAGGAATCTCTTGTGTCCCTGGTATAGGAAAACAGCACTTCTCTAGAGTCAATCATGTTTCATTGAGGCTTTTGTTCCACAAATACATATAGAGTGACCAAGTGGCAATTGAAGGAGACATAGAGAGAGCAAAGCTGACTTGCCTGGACCAGCCTCCCAGCCTAGTGAGGAAGAAGGACACAAAAGAAACACATACACTAAAGGTTTACACTGCTATGAGAGGGGGTGCCCAGGGTTCTATGGAAACATGAAACTAGGGTGTGGTGGGGTGATAACTAACTAAGGCAAAGGAGAGACCACCAAGTACTTGTGGCATTAAAGACCATCCTCAGTAGCATTTTGCCTCATCCCAAATCATAAGACTATTCTCATGCTCCAGAGTAAGACTAAAGCACAAAGAGGTAGACAATAACAAAAGGAAAGATATAAAAAGTACAAAACTGGGTAATTAAGAAAGCTATATGGCAGAGATTTGGGGAAAGAAAAAGAAAAGTGTGCATGGGGGACATTGCTATCAAGGACAATCTTTTCTCAGAAGAGAAGCTGCCGTGTCGTTTCTTTAAATGACTGTAACCAAGCATTAATAGGAAACAGAAATCCTTCCAGAGACCCCACCGCCACCTATAGCTTCCTTGGCATTGTCTAAGGCCGAAGTCAAATGACGACCCTCTTCCCTTAGATGTCAGCTACTTGTTGACTCATATAGCAAGAAGGAAACCAAACCAACAGAAATCCAACTTTTCTGAAAATGTGCTAAATCATTAATAGTTCAAACGAAAACATACTTACACACTCACACATCGTAAGTTAGATTAGAAGATGATATAGACTTGTCCTCTAGGTCAGGGATGATCAACGTTACCCCCATATTTTACAGATGGAGACTATGATGGTTTGGGAATTTAAGGGACTTTCCCAAAGTTCCACAGCAATGTAATGGCCAAAGTAAAACCACAAAACACGTTGCTGCCCTGGGGATAGCGGGAGAGAGAAGTGTCAGTACAGCCTGCCCTAAATAATAGCAGTAACATGATTTTAAAGCGTATTTTCAGAATCTTTTCTTGAAGCCCAAGAAAAGTCACTTTGAATAGCTCTGATTCCATCTAATCATTCTGGACCACTTGGAAAAGGATGATTTTGAAATAGAATAATGACCAGTGTGGGGATCAACCCTGGGGCCCTAAGTAGACTAGAGCTAGAATAGTCTATTGTATTTAGAGGTCGGAAAGATCTTCATCACGACTTCTTTCCGGCTCTGAGTGGACTCAAAACACCCTATTATGATAATTGTGGGGCATAAATAAGACTGAATGTGAGACATGGAAATGATTTGGGTTAACACTTCTCACTGGCCAGTCTCAAGCATCATGAACTCATTCCCTGGCCCTTTGTCCAAAATAAAGATCTACATTCACACTTAGATCCAGAGCAGTAGATACCTAGCTCATTGGTCACTGGCCACAGGAAGTATCCTCCATGGATCCTTCCTGGACAACTTATTTCCCTAATTGATTTCTTGCTCTTTGCTCTTGCCTTCCAGCACCCACGTATCTCATTGTGTCTACTGAAAGGAGCCTCCCCTTACAGAGATGCCAGATTATCTATTCCATGTGCCTCAAGAACCTGGGTCCTGTAGCATTTCTCCAGGGCAGGCTGTTCTGAGGGAAAAAAAGGCAATGGAAAGTCAGGGAGAACCTCTAGGGGTGCTCTGAAAACTGGAAAAAGTTGATGCAGGAACTCAGATACAGGCCAATAGAATGGGGCTGAGAAATTTGGTGTGAAGAGCCCTCAGAGTTCATGTCTTATGTCTTCATTTGATAGACACAAAGTTTGGAAGTATCCTGTTTTGCTTAAGGTAACACTGAAGAGCCAGGTTTCCAATCTGGATCAACTGACTTCTAGCCCAGTGCACTTTCCACT